CAATTTAGCAGAGACAAAATTTGAACCCAAGTAATCTGGTTTGGGAATGCATGCTCTCTATTGTGACTGGTGGGTGATTCTCTGGAGGATCCCAGGGCTGAGAGAAAGGCAATCCAGAGGCGCTGCAGATGCTCAGGCCTCTCCTCGCTGAGTACAAACTGAGGCACAGCAATCTCGCAAGGGTCATCTATCAGATGAAACCTTCATGCCACCCGTGGGCGAAGTGACATTTTCCTCCACTACAGCTTGCCTTTCTCAAGTGGAACGAGGTGCCCTGATCAGGTGGCCTAAAGGAAACTGACATTTTACCTATGTTTTTTGTTTTTTGTTTTTGTTTTTTTCTATTTTATTTTTATTTTTTGAATTCCCAAGGTACTGGTACTGTCTTTGTTCTTTTGAACCCATTGCACATGTATGTATTTTTAAAACTCACTCTTGACCCATGTCAGGTTCTTGATAAATAGAACTAACCTCTGAGTTTGGTCCCAAATAGCTTCTGACACATGGCCTGGCTGGGCATTTGCTCCTGTTGTGAATTGAAAAGTCTCAGAGAAGGAGACTGGAGGGAAGGGTGGGTGTTCAGACTGGTCAACAAAACTAACACAGGCCGGCATTTTGAGCCAAACTTTCTCCTATTGACAGAGCTCCGAGGGGCTGAGGAGACGGCTCAGGGGTGGAAGTCCTTGCTGTGAAATATGAACACCTGAGTTCAGATCCCCAGTGCCCACAGAGAGGCAGGGTGCGGTCCAGCATGTCTGTAATTTCATGGCTAGGGTGCAAGCAGAAGAGCAACCGAGGCAGCCACTTGACATAGACTTCTGACCTCTGCATGTGCACACACAAGCAAATACATACACTCACACATATCCACATATATGCGTATATCAACATACATGGGGGGAAAAAAAGAATTTACAAAACTCGGGCTTAGTGGGAGTCCTCACTGTTGTATAAAAAAATGAAACCTTATGGTGGCTTCAATCACAAAACACAGATTTTCTGTAATCAGTAGGAGAAGCGAACTCCAAGATTTCTCCCTCTAATTTCTTATCATACTGTCCCCAAACAACAAGATATCCCCCCCTAATTTCTTACCACGCTGTCCCCCAAACTCGAACACTCTTGGGTTAATTAATAACAACTTTTTTTTTTAACATTTGCATCTTTGAGTCTTGGTTTCTTTGGGATCGGGCCTTCCATATGCTTGGAATTTGTTGGCTTGAGTTTAAAACAGATGGCCACATGCATTTTCCCATCTAGGAAACTCATTTGGTTATTTGTCCTCTCGTTCTCATGGTAACCAAAAGAGGTTGTTCGCATTATTTTTACTTACAAAGAAAAAGAATTATGAGCTGCCAGACAGTTACAGCTGTTTGATGGAGGCCTGACCTTTTGTTTTATTTTTCTAGTCTCTGTTGATGGATGCTTATCACACCGTACCTTGTTTTTTAGTGACATATACAAATAAAAATGATCATAAAGGAAGCCACTTGTGTATGTGGTCCCCTTAATTATTTTTCATTGCTACTGGAAACAATAAAATCCCCTTTGATGTCAGATATTTTGTGGTGAAGGGCCTTCTGATGGCTCAGGTAGATGGGGCATTCCTGGGTTGTTTAGAGAGCTCCACTGTAGGGATTTATCACCCTAGACACCCTGAACATATTTCATTGCATTCTATTTTCAGCCAGTACCTGAGACACGGAAGCAGAACACCTGAAAAGGATGTGGCTAAGGTACCAAGCAGTGCTTGAGTGTGGACTCACACTAATTGTGTCTTTACAGTGGGGCCACCATTATTCCTCAAAACGGGGTCAAGGTTCACTGCCACTTTATAGTTGAATCTTATTCAAAGCAGAGTACGGTGGTGTGTGTGTGTGTGTGTGTGTGTGTGTGTGTGTGTGTGTGTGTGTGTGTGTGTGTATGTATATACACCTACTAGGCACGCCTAAAGAATCCGCTCTTTAGAAATGATAAAACTAGTGCTTCAGCACAGATAGTGTTATGGGGAAAGTCAGAACAAAATATTCATTTGTAAAAGAGAATTTCTGTCATGTCCAAGGTCATTTCAGATTTGTAATCAATCCCCTCTATGAAGTAACTACTACTGCCTATGACCTGCTAGTAGATGCTGTGAGGATAACCTCAGAACCTGATTTGTGAAAATAAAATAGCCATTGGTTAATTTAGGAAAGGAATTAGATATAATTATATATAAATATATAAGTTTTGTTCCCAAATCAGATGCCTGCAGATAACCCTTGCCAAAGAAACAAGAATAAATATATCTGCTCTCTCTGGTTATGTGATACTACTGAAGGTGACCTTGGCAAGCTGTTTCCACGGAGACTTCGGTGATGCATGCAGAACTTATTCAGTGTTCGTTCCTTTCATGTGGGTGATATAAAAGTCTTCAAAAACCACAAAAAGTAGGATAATAATTATGTCTTATGATTGTTACTATGGAGATATGTATCAAATCCGTATGGAGTTTCTTTGGCCTGATACAAATGTAAGTTAAGGATGTATCTGATCTGGTCTATTCTATCCATATGTCTATCTATCTACATACTTATGATAGATTTGCTGTTGCATTATTTTTTGAGATTTTTCTGTAAGCTTGAGAGCTTATTCTAAATAGAGACTTTCAATTTTTGATTTTCAAAACGCAGAATAAAGCGATGATTGCCAAGGTTGAGCTTTTGAGTCAAATAAATTTGAATTTGAATTTTGGTTTGCCACTTAGTGACTATGGAAGTTTGGCATTTGGGGCGAATACTTAGTTAGGTTCTCTAAGCTCAAGTTCCCACATGTGTAAAGGACTGCAAATTGTTCCCACTCCAAAGAGATTTTGTGAGGACCAGGGATATAATATAAATAAATAAAATGCTAAGTATATTGCCTGGCTGGTAAGAAGTACTTCGGGAATTTTGGTTACAGCTAATGAAGTGAATACAGCTAATTTAGCCTCTTGATTCTTTTCATCTTTCAAAATGATGAGTGGTGTTGGCGTTAAAGAAACATTTATTCAGACACTTGACAAGGTAGTGGGAAAGACTTATACACTCAAGAACAGGACAATTGCAGCAGTACTCTGCAGCAGGGTAAAGCTCAACTTTGAGAAAATAAAGGGGCAGTGAGACTTAAAGCCAAGGTCTATGGTGGTGGTCGGAGGGTTAAAATTACCAAGATGGATTTTCAAGTCTAAGGTGATTTCTGCTGGACGAAGTCAACAGTGTTATTATAGAAAGTAAGGTAGGGTGAGTCAGAATGGGGCATGTGATCAGCTATCAAGGGAGGGGGACTCTTACTTAACTGACCCAGTGGATGAAGAAATGGGGCTAAGAGTGGTTATTAGAACAAGAGATGCCGTAACTGTAGAGGATGTAAACAGCGACCATCATTTGCTGAGTATCAAGCCTTGTATCAAGCACTGTGTACGCTTATGCTTATCATGACCCTAAAGAGCAAGTGCTAAGGTCAGCACCAGTGACACCTGTAGCTTTACAACCAAGGACACTGGGGTTCAGGTTGGTGCAAATTATGCAGGTAGGTTGATGGTGCCACGAGGCTGAGTCCACGTGCACTGTTCTGCAATGTCCAAGTGTGGCTGTGTGGCCAGCTCTAAGCTCGCCTTCTGTGTTTAGTTAATATTAAAGGCGAGTGGATCAGTTAATGAACCGTGGGGAGAAGGACGAGTCTCCATCATCTGTCAGCCTCTCCCACTTTTCCTTCTAATTATCTACTTGAATTTTAGTTAGGGGTTTTAAAGATTTATTTTTATTAGTGTGTGTATGTGTGTGTGTGTGTGTGTGTGTGTGTGTGTGTGTGTGTGGTGTGGTGTGGTGTGTGTGTGTGAGTTGGGGGGAGAGAGGGAGAGAGAGACTATTGAGGTTAGAAGAGGCCAGTGGACACCCCAGGTCTGGAGCTCTAGGTAGCTGTAGACGTGAGCTGCCTGATAATGCTGGGAATAGAACTTGGGTCCTCTGTAAGAGCACCACTCTTAACAACTGAACCATCACTTGAACCCCAGGCCTTCAATTTTTGAGTGTGCTTTTCCGCTGCCTTCTGATTTTGATAAATTTGGAGCCCATTTGTCTCTTATATTCAGAACTTATCATGAAACCCATTGGGAGCAGCTCCTTCGATCACAGTGGGAATGCTGTGGGAGGTTTAGGTCTGGTGTGTGTGTGTGTGTGTGTGTGTGTGTGTGTGCGTGTGTGTGTGTGTGTGTGTGTGTGTGTGTGTGTATGCATGTACATGCACGTTTAAAAAGCAGTAAGCAGTTATAGTATATGTAAATAAAACTATCACTTAGAAAATATCATGGTGGTATAACCATTCTCCTTCTATGGTCTTCTAGACATGTTTATTTACCTTTCAATAGACAATCCCCTTGTCTTTTATGAACATCTTCAGTCATCCACAGGGTACTATTTTATGACATGAGAACTGACGTTGCAGTTTATGGGCCACATAGAACAGTAAGATTATATCTGAAAGCAGACAGTATATACAATTTTCAACAGTGAATCTTTCAAGTGTCTCACCGCCTCCCCAAGCTCTTACTAAGTCTGGAGCAAACCCCTAAAATTCACTGTTGTTTCTTTCAAATTTGACCTTGAGACTTAATACTTACATGAGTGCATTCTCCTAGATCAAATATACTACATCTTAAGCTAGGGCTCCTTTGTAGACAATTTTGGATTTTGTTATAGGAGAAATAAAAATAATTGAAGTCCACGGTGTTCATAGCATGGCTTAGGGAGAGATGAAAAATCCTCAGCAGAAGACAGATTGGTGATTTCTCTGGCTATTAAGAACTTTTCCAATATTTGGTAAAGGACACAGGAGGTACCTAGTAGATATTTGTTGACTGAATGAATAAGTAAATTTTGGCCATTAACTAAAATGTCCCTGGACCCGCAACAATGAATATTTTGATTTGCCTTTGTTCATATTAGTTACCGGAGCCACACAAAAAAGTACGTGAAAGTTGATAGAATATGAATGACTCATTTACAAACATTTATATTTCAATGTTAGGAAATATGGTGAGATTAGGAAAACAGTGAAGACAATGATTTGTACACAGTCAACTAGTTCAGGCAATGACATTCTCACAAATTACAGCTTAACACAATTAAACAGCACATATAACATATATGTATGACAGACATTGCCTTTGATATTGACATACGATCAGTTATACACATAAGAAATATTGCCAGTTACAGTTTGGGTTATGAAATAGATACTTTTTTTGATAAGACATTTCAAATTACAATATATCTCAGGCAGCATGCAGGAAAAGTCATTTATTGTATCTTTGTTAGGACATACTTTGCACCGAGCTTCCAATTTTTTTTTTCTGGTAGTTAGATCAAGAATATAGAAACCACAGAAATGATAGTATGGTTGAAATCAGCAGTTGTATTTACTGGCTGAGAGAATTTCTGGTAAAAATAAAATTTTCTGAATTCATTAACAAAATGCACAGTGATCATAAACTTAAAAAGTATTTTTTTTCACAATTAATTCTTGTTTATTGATGATACAGCAGCTGCAGGGAATCTCAATTCTGAGAGCTGGATTTTACATGACAGCAGGGACTTATTCTTCTGTGGGCTCACATGATCACAACAGAGATGTTTACTATTTGAAATCACATGTTATAACAAGGTGCTATACAAAGATCACAAATATTTGGTGTTTCTGTTTTAACGAATATGCTGTGGTTATTCCACAAAGAGACTAGATTAACAGGCAGTGTAAATCACAGGAATCTTAAGATTTTTAAAAATACATTTTATACAATAGGCTTCTTATTTCTTCACTAGCATTTCATTTTTATTTTTATTTTTTTTTCTTTATACTTAAAGTCCTTAGAGAAACTAAGAGCTTCTGGCTCATGCCAAGAGAGTCGATAGGACTGATATTTCCCTCAGGAATATGGCTGAGTGTACATTGAATCACAGTCAATAACGCAACATCTAATATAACAGATTATTTAAAAAATTCAAATCAAGTCTAATTATTTTAAAAGACAGAAGTTTGAACAAAACTGTAGTAATCAAAAGTTTATTTACAAAACATTTAAATATATAGTTTAATGGCTAGTTCTTGCTAACTGCACAGATTAAATTGGCATACACAGTCTATTAACTCTCTATGCAACATTGGTAGACCTCTGAGTCAACAACGTGTATGGAGTGGTTGGGTGAGAAAATTAGACAGTCATTTCTGTCCACTCACTGTTCTCGAAGAGAAATGTTTTAATGCTTTCTCTGTGAGACAAGAGCTGTCATTAGTGTTGGTGTGTTTAAGGTCTCCAAATGCAACCTAGTGTGATGTCCGAATTTGAGGAAAAGACTGATAAATGTGCCACTGAATTTTCAAACCCAACTATAGCTTTCTTTTTCTTAGACTTCTGTGTATTACATCGGCTTAAACTTATTTCCCTTGGTCATGAGAAACACAAAAAGATTCATTTTCAAAAGGTAAGTGATGGAGTGAGCATTTCTTACAATCACATTCATAATACAAGAAGTTAATCTACATTTTACAGATCATTAAACAATTTTCTTTGGCAGAAGACAATAAATAAATTTCTCTGCTTCTAACATTTCAATGAGGCCATTTTCTTTCCCGGTCCTATCAGGTGTACGGTCACTATTTCAGGATCATAGAACACCACAGATAAAAAAATATTTAATGAGCACAAACTGACAGTTAAATTCAAATAGTACTGATCCATTGCTGTAGGTATTTTACACAAGCATTTGTAACAGTACTTCTGATGATCGTAATTTTAACACAGTTAGCAATCATGGGCATGTTACCTTTCCTTTCCTCGCCGAATTTTATCTCTAAAATACTGAAGGAATACACCGGAAAGTTTCTGATTGTTATACATTGTGTTTCCCCACAGAATGACTAACATAGGAGGTACACACCTTCATGTATGTGTTGTGTGCTGAAAACGATAATCTTTGTAGACTTCCTTTGTTGGCCTGAGAGGTTCAAATCTGAAAGATTCAGCTAAGCTTCCGTCACTATTATCACCACCAAACCACCATTCATGAGATACCAAGTGTGATGAAGTTATTAAAAATACAGCCTTAGACATGGGCGATCTCTAGGTTGAGCTGGAGGAATGTGAGGATTGTGTACACTCACTCACGCTAAGATTACCTCTAATTTTGTCTGTCTTTCCCTTCTCCTGCTCTTTGCCTCCGAAGGTTATTTGTGAGGGTTCCCTTACACTGGGAGTACATCTGTACACTTTGCTCTTTACCCTTTAGCCTGTGGGGTCGGGGTGGAGGACTTGTTTGTGCTCATCTCTTTTCCAGAGATGCTTTCAGGCATGAGGACGTGCCAACCTTTTCTATAGGGATTGCTTGTTAAAATTGCTCAGCATGAATTCAGTTTACCCTTAAATCATCCACCAACTTTGTTCAGTGGTGAAGAATGGCCGCTAACAGCCACTAGAGGCATGAGACAATTGTGAATTAGTTTCCAACTGGAGATCTCGACTCTCTTGCCTGCTCCATGGAATACTGCCCATGGTAGAGCCATGTTCTGTCCATATGTACAACAGCCATTTCCTTTCCTGGCCCTTGTTAAGAGAGCCATGAATGAGACATCTCATTGGTGTGAGCTTTGTACTCTACAAATAAACCCCGGGGAAGTCCGGTTACAGTAACAGTTGTGCCAGCGGTGGTTAATATGGCTTTTGGGGAGGAGACTTGTGTTGTCCCATTAACCTGTGACTATCACTGGGAATGGTACTCACAGGCAAATCTGCTTATGGTTCTAAAACAATCATCTGCCACCTTCTCATGTCCGAGCCTTTTTGATGTTCTACGCAATAGGGGTCTTTCATTATCCAACTGTTTCCCTGCTCTTTTGCGATTCAAATCCAGGTTTATTTCAAGGCCTCGGGATCGGAGCAAATTACACAGTGCGTGGATTGTGGACCGAGGAAAGATGCGTGGCACTTTCACCTTGGAAGTTTCTGCTGTGGAGGCTTCCAAGGTGACTTTCAAAGGTCAGAAAAAAATATCAAGGCTTTGGATCTTAGTGAACATATTTGAGGAGACTGCATGGAATCTGACTGAGGCCTTCAGCTGCGAATGTTATATCCCATCACGGCAATGGTCTGCCGTGGTGATGTGACTTCTCAGAGAGGCTTTGATTTTGAGTAGAAGAATATGTAAGTGGAGGTGCGGGGGATGATGATTGAGACCAAATGGGCTGTGCTGGGACTGGGGCTATAAGTAGTCAGGTCTGTTTGAGAGGTACAGGGCAAGAGAGAGGGCTTTATCGGGAAAGCATCCCCCCACACCACCAGCGCAAATGGACAATCAGCGCTCAGTTTTGACCAGCAACAGCAGAGGCACATGGATTCTTGAATTGCATTTCTGGCTCCAAAGCAAGGACAAACACACGCAGGTATTTTAAGTACTCAAGGGTTTTGGGTTAGATTTTAGAGGACAGACAGGTATCCACACATACTCACATAACTCAATATCTTAGCCTAGCTTTTTAAGACATTCCCATCTGCCAAGTGACCTGAATATTCAGCACTCCAGTGCCAGCAAGAGAGCCTTGGAAGTTGACCCCAGGGGGGACCTAGAGTGATGCCTATGGCGCCTCCTGTTGTGTCCAAGCCTTATGAGCCCTGTGGTTTATCTTGAATCAGCTTCCCAGACTCTAACCAGTAGTCACTCTACCTCAGTAGACTCCCACTCCTCAAACCAGAAGACATTCATTCAGCAGGATGCAGGACCACTACAAAATAGTTTCCCATTAAGTATAACCCAGATAACCAACCATGAGAGACAGGTTCCTTAGTTGTTTTCTGGACTGTGGGGTGGTCAGGTAAAGTACATGCACAGTTATAGTTTAAAAGAAAGACTCAGAGAAGAGAGGATTTCTGGAGTCCCATTCAAAAAAAAAAAAAAAGAAAGAAAGAAAGAAAAGAAAAGAAGAAAAAACAAGAAGCCACTGTAAAGTTAGTTTTCCTTCAAATTGAATTAATTCTAAGTCTGAATTATGGACTTTTAACCCACATGTCTGAGTCTATTGTGCCGAGAGGAAGGCTGCCATTTAAGCCTTTAAGCTTCTTTCTGGGGGAGCAGAGTTAAAGAGGGGGTGACATTGATCATTCTTAGCCATGCAGAGCACTGTGTGGATCGATGGTTTTGAACTGCAGCATGCATTAGAACGATCCAAAGAGCTTGTTAAAACCCACAGTGCGGCGCCTACTCCTGGCATTTCTGATTTATAGAGGGAGGGCTGGGGTCTCAAGTGGGAGCAGTTGATTTGCATATTTCACAGGTTTCCTAAGTCCCTGCTGATGCGGCTTGGCTGCGGACCAAACTTTTAAGAATCGCTGTAGTTGCTTATTCTAAAACAACCTTTATATAGTTACCCTTGTCACCCTAATTGCATTCTTACATCAAAGCTTTTCCATGTGGGATGGGAAGATCAATACTGGATTTTCTCTCCAGAAGCTCACCAAGTAGCAAGGGCTAGATTCCATGGGTGTTGGTTTAATTATAGACCATTTTTTAGGTTTAGAAAGTCAAGCATATATAATAAACGTGTCCATAAAATATAATTCTAACCCATGTTTTATGCTCTGGCCTTCCTATATAATTTTCTATGTTATTAAACGTGATGCCCTGAAAGTCCATTTCTAGAAAAGTCTACACTCTTTCTTCATATAATGTTATTTTCGTAATAACATTACAATCCTCTTCCACCACTTAGGTGACAGTCACCTTATCACTTCAGGGTAATTAACGCTGTGACTAAATGTGTTCACAGTTTCTTGGCTGAGCACAAGCAAATGAGTTGTTGATGTTTTCTTAGTGAAATCCGTGTGAAAGTTTGCTAATCCCAAGAGCTTCTGGAAAAGATTGAACAGAGGGAAGGTTTCAAGGGACATTCTGGGCTGTCCGGTGAGCACGAGTTAAGGGGGACAAGCCAGTAAGCAGGCAGAATTAGAGATTGCAATTTGCTTGGCTGGAAGACCTGGGTCAGCTTAAGGGGTGTGGCTCTGGCAGGGGTTGATGAAGATTGACAGGCATTTGTGTGAATGGAAGGAAGGCTGAGTTTGTTGGAGAAAGGACTTTCTCTTCCTTAAGCAAAGGCTTCCCTTTGATTGACAGCACAACCAGGATTGCTTAAGGCAGCCATCAGCAAAAAATGCCTACGGTGCATATTTATTTTTACAAAGATGAAACCCTATTTTTTTTTTCAGTTTACTATTTCTTAATCAAAAGTGAAATAGAGGTCAAATTTGATGTGACAGAATCGTTGCAATTTAAAAATCTGATGCATTTGCTGCAACTGAACGGCAGCTCTGGATGGAAACCTATAATGAGAAAAGGAAGGGTATTTTTATCCCCAAGCGGCAGTCACAGAAATGATTATACTTGGAACAAAAATATTACCCATTTAAATTTCTCCTCTCTACGCTGAGGCTCACAAAGCCACTTTTTCTGTTGCAATGTGTCAGTCATGTTTGGTTACCCCTTCCTTCCCCGTCACAAATTTGGCTTTGTGGCTCAGGACTAATAAAACTGGGACGCATTACTCCCACTGATGTTGAAATAGTTTTGTCATTTCTTAAGACATTCCAATTGGGATTCCTTCAAGAGAAAGCTTACATTCATTCCACGGAAATATTCTTTGTTTACATAAGCAGAGCTCTGTTATTACTTTTTTCCTTCCTTTCCTTGTGAAAATGTCTACATGCTTTTTCTGTGTTTTATGTTCCATTTCAGATCACCAAGGAAGCATTGTGGCTGTGGCAGTCCAGGTAATTGCTATGGTTATGATTTAAGAAGTCTTTCTGTGAAATCTTTTGGAGTAGTCATTTCTCCATAACAAAGAGGGTATTTAACAGACAATTGAATCTGTAGCAAATGGTATCCTTTTTTTTTTTTTTTTCATTTTCCTCTAGAATACTTGTACTTTTAAATAAACTTGGAAGGGGTGGACTGCTGGCCACTGGGCAGCTTGTTCATAATTTTATATAGTTTAGTAGAAAATAGTGCTGACAATCTCTTTCTCCTATCTGTTGGGGAGCTTAAGGAATGCAAAATAAAAGGGGAATTATTTTCAGTGTGAGACATTGTGAAAACTTAAAGGTCACCCTTAGAAGAAGAATGGATTTGGCCTTCAGAAGGTCAATGAGTTGAAATCCATTCCAACCTTTTAGGCGCTTCTTCAAATGGAGGAAACTTCCCATTCCCTCCGCCCAGCAGTGTACAAGTAATTATTTTCAAATAAATTGGTAAGTTCCTCCCAGATGCATGTGGCTCAATTGGCTTTGTACTTGTTCTGTTAATTGAGTACAAGGAGGAGCAACTGGTTGGCAATGTAAAGCATCTTTAGCTCATGCCTACCAGAGGAAGGAAACAGGAAGCTACTGACCACAGGGGGGCTTAATGTGTTCTGGAAAACAACGACATGAAGTCATCATCCATCTGTCATGTAGCAATGAAACAAAAGCCGGAGGGATCTGAAGATTCATAACTTTCTGAAACACATAGATCTATCTACCTTTCCAAAAGAGAAAGCCTTTGAGTCTCCTCTCTGATGATGACTGGGCATTCAAATGAAGAGAGCACTATGTACTCAGAGAGAATCTAAGGTCCTCTTCTCTAGATGCTGTCAATTGATGAAGAATGCAGTTTTAGCTCAGAGAGGAGCCAGAAGCCACCACGTCAAGGACATTCAATGTTGGTAGTTAGTAGAAAGAACTTCGATAATGACAAAGCAAATGATGCCAAGAACAAGCTTTCTACAACTTGAAATGCTAACTAACAGCCCAGTCTCACATGGTGATTGGCTCATAGAAGACTCTGGAATGCGCTAGTGGAATCCTAACCCATTCATCTTGATGGTGAAAGATAGAATGTGAAAATTAAGAAAATCATTACTTCTATTTTTATTAAAGGGAAGTTCTTTGATCAGTTTCAGAATGACCCCGTTAAATAATCTCACATTCATAAAATATCCTTAGACCAAAATGAAAGGTTAATTTAATTAGAAGACTGTAATTGGAATCTGATTAAATCCAGGGCCAGTGTTAATTGTCTTAAGTCATTCTGCCTTTAATTCTTCACCTTACCTTATGATACTTAATACAACATTTTATCAAAACAAATGCTTGAAGATTATGAGTTCGTGTCAAAAACATAAAGTCTGACTTTGAAATGGCTCCACTGGCTAGACTGAATTATTATTATTTTTCGAAGTTTGAACTTAGTGGATAGTCAGTGAGTGATCGTGGATGGGGGCTTTGTTAAACTGGCTCATTTTATGCCTCTCTGGCTTGACTTTTATCTGACCCCTTGTCAATCTGAAATCACCCATTTGATATTGATCTAGCTCCACCCATTTTATGATAGCTGTTTACTGAGCACAGGATTAATTTAGAGACACTCAAAATGATGTGTGCTTTTGTTCAAAGCTTTTGGTTTAACCAGTGAAGTAGTTGGCATTCCCCTGTCCCCTACATTATATGCTCTGAAATAGCTGTTCTCTTCCCTGGGAGGATTTAAAAAGATAGAAAGTGGAGACCAATGCTCTTGCTCTTTCTGTATCCTCTTATAGACTGAGTATGGAGAACATTCTACTGGGAATGGGGTAAATATAAAGTTACCAAGAAGGGCAAAACACCGAGACAGTCCACTAAAAACTCTGTCATCATTTCTAACCCAGCAGCTTCTGCAGACTCTTCCTTCCTTCTGTCTTGGTTTTGAAAAATTATTAAATATTTTGTCACGCCTTTAAAGAGACCCAAAATAATTCTGATTTTTTTAAAATGAAACAACTCTAAATTTGAGGTAAAGACAGAATACTACTGGCTGTGAAAGCTGATATTGATTAGCGGAAGCTCTGAAGCAGTGTGAAAGGAATCCTAAGCAGTAACAAAGCAATCTTTCTTTTCATTTGACCAATGACATGACCGCTGGAGTCAAAGTTCCTGTAAGATACTGATGACAGCAGAAACTCTGTTCTTGGAGTTTCAAAGGAAAACATTTTTTGAAGGCTTAATGGTAACAATTGTAAATGATTTCCAAAGGCTTTGCACCTGTCCAGCTCCATGCCTTGCCCTGAGAGGACGGCTTGAGAAGTCTCATGGGCAACTGGTTGGTCGGGCTAGTAGGGTATTGGAGGAGAAATGGCAGAGACTAAACAATTAACAGGCATGAAAGTTGTGGGGAGGGTGTTGGCTCTGTTGTGGGTATCTAACCTTAAAAAGAGCTAGTGAAAGATCCATAGGCTGGGTGATAAAATATCTGTGGACAGATTGGGTGAGACCCCTCCTCTGTATCTCCCAACATGCCAAAATACATTTCTAGAAAGTATTAACTGATACATGGTTACCTGGCTGCTTGGTACCATCTCTCAAGTGAAAATATAAAATTCCATCCTATTAACTTCCAGAATTTGGCCTTGACCAATTTTTTTCCCAAGAACTGTTTTTGACACTCATTCAAAAAAGCAGACAGAACAAAATCAACCCTAAAGGCTTCCTATCTGAAATGATGGCTAAATAAACAAAATAAAGATGAATTTCTTCTTTTTTTAAAAAAGATTTTTACATCTGTTTTGGGAAGAATACTTGTTATTCCAAACAGTTCTCAAACAACTTGGAATGTACACCTTTAAGAGCAACTTTGCTCCATTTATGACAGAGATATGTTTTGAAAGAAACTAAGTTGACATGGATTTCTGGGCAACCCTAGATATGTAGAATGCAGTTCCAGTTACTAGACATGTGAAACTCATTTTTGTTTTTAATGTACATATCTGTATGGTGTGGGAGAAATAGGATAGAGGGGAGCCAGTGTTGAAACAATGTCCCATTTCAAGGAAAAGAATCTTACAGCTAGTAATCCAAATACTTTGAACTTGGTTTTGCACCAGTTAAAATGCAAGCCTTTGGTAGAAGAAAAGACTAAATGCAACATTCACATTAGTTATACCCAAGAATGCTGGTCTATCAGAAACATTTAACTACTGGTAAATCTGCCTGGACCATGTGGTTACAGGGGCAAGACTCAAGTTCAATATTCCATTCCATATATCGATTCAACATTATAATTAGTCCTGAAATGGTAGTAACAATATCAAAATAAAGTCATCTTTTAAAAGGGGGGAAGTATTACGTTACCAAGCTGAGTAATTTAAAAGCATTATACATTTAAAAATGGAAGGAAATTCTTGAAAAATATTTTTATGAGACATCTGCACAGCTCTAATGTATTCCATAAAATAATTCAATGACATGGAAAGTATGCCAAAAGCATACTTTTCTTTAGTTGCCCAAGCCAAAAACTATATATGCCCAGCTTTGATTTTTCATGTCAAACAGGAGAATGAGTTTAAATTACATAGTTGTCTTAGGAAACTGGGACTCTTTCTTACTTAAGGTTAATGACTTTCAAATATCTTAAATAAGGGTAATACGTGATGAAATTCTACTTAACACATGTTCTTTGTGCCAAATTATTTCATTTAAAAAATATAATCTTGTCAAAGTGTAGCTAATTCATATCATTTTCTTAACCATACATCTTGATTCCATGAGCATTACTGCAATGCAGTTGGAAAAACTCCTAAGATTTTTCTTTGGGATATTTTTCAAGTCTAATGTTTGCTAAAACGAATTTGGCAATGTAGAGAAAGATTCACAAAGAGTCTGTTTTTTTTTTTTTTCACAAAAGCAACCATTACGATCATATGATTCATATCATTGAAGTACTGCCTAGTTTATTTCTTCGGTGAAATCTTTTGTGAAGCAGTTCCATATCTGGTTTAATGAATACATTTAATACATAGGGGTAGTCCTCTTATTTGGAAAGAAAACTCAGGATTGTGATCTTCACAATGGATGTGGGACATTGCAAATGAACAACCACACTTTTAGAAAAGATCTCCTTCTTGCAAAACTGATCTCCTCTACTACATGTTTGCAAGGGAGTCTAAGAAGCAGTTCTGCAGATTGTACACTCACTGGCAAGGAGTGCCGGTAGAGAGGGCTGTATAGTCATCCCAATAATCAGCGTTCCCTGCCTCCAGTACATTCTTAGATTTGGCAGAGTATACTTGTCTTTGTAGCACACAAATTATTAGGGATGGGCTCTCTGCGTTAACTATTAAAGCAGGTCCAGTAACCCTGATGTGTGGTCATTTCTTTCTTGGTCTATTTGGTCATTAATGTGAGTTTTCCTGCACATTGCCTACCCGAAACACAGTAACCAGTGAAACACTCAAGCCTCTCATAGTTCTTAGAGTCATATCTATTTTTCTGTGTTTACGTATGACGCCTTTAGAAGAAGCTCTTCATGGGGTTTTGGGACATATGTCTTACTTTTTTCCCACTCTGTACTTACAGATATTGATAGAATAGGCCATGAGATGGACACTGGGCATGATAAATATGACCCCCAAAGACATTAGTGAATTAGCATGTAACTCTAGGGTACCACACATCCCAAGCATTTGTGGAGATGCTACACTTTGTTCTAAAATCTGTTGTCTCTGTGGAAAGTCATCCTAGTTGATTTTCTATGACAAGTTCGCTCTCTGGAGAAAAATTCCTGAGCAATTCCTTGTAGCATGAGCCTTCCCCTGTTGATGAGCACTAACAGTGGGCGTCACAAAGTTTATTGAGTGCACTAAGGGTGGCCGATGAAGAATGACAGAAGTTGGGCAATACTGGTAGGAAAGGCTGCACTGTAAAGTTAAGTACATCAAAGTTACTCATGATGCGTCAATGTCCCTCGAGGCAATGGAATCAGAGAACCTTTGACAAAACTGAAAAATCTGGAGATTCTTGAGTGCATCTGTTTGGACACCTTGGCAGGCTGAGGCAAAGTCACAGCAAGCTGGATACTTACCATTCCCTATGGACGGGACAGCAAAAGCACCCCCTGCCTCTCTTAGGAATTCTACCTCTCAGTGGTTGGCCCTTCTGCGGGAAGGACGTTCTCTGCTTTGGGAGATTGTTACCCATGGCCTGGTTAAGTATTAAGAATGAAACACCTGACTATTTCAGTTATGTTGCTTTCCCACGGTATCCCTGGTGATAGAGTACCATCAGGACCACCCAACCTTTGAAATGTGCGGGCCTGGGTGAAAACAATGGCTACGGCAATAATAGTGTTTGAAAAGAATAGCAAAATCCCCAATCCATTACAAAAGAAATCAAATAAAATATGTAGGGAGTCACGAACACACATTAATGAATCTATTCACAAGAACACATGTCCTCAGTAAGATAAATGTGGTTTCGCATGTCTCTTTTCTGTGACACACCACTTATTTGCCAACCTGATAGTCACACTTTCTAGTTTTTGCCAATGGTTAGAATGCCTTGCCCAAGAGGCATGATTCTTATAGAGCATGGTAGATGATAGTTGTAAGTTAGGATGTACATTGTCGATGGGGAAATGGCCACACATTCTTAAACTCATAAAGGTCCAGCCACGACTTGCTCTGGGTATAGTTTCCCAAGATCAGAAAAAGGAAAATCAAAATCAAGAGATGGATACCACATTTTCAACTCAGAAGGAAAATGAAAGACGTCTTCTTGAAGCTGAGTTGCTTTAGAAAAAGAGGGGGGGGGCTCTAATTTCTTCGACAAAGCTGTCAGATGTGAGAGCAAACTGGCCCCTCTCATTTTCTTTTGAGAGCTTAAGCCCAGAAATGTGAACACATGATGTTTCTAATGAGGAAGGCCTGGTGTGGAAAGGATGATGGAAACAATGTGTTTCTGCTTGGGTTGAGATCACTTCTTGGGGAGGGGATGCTCGTGAGATGCAAGGAGCTAGCTACCTGTCCATCCCTCAGGCTTGTTTCAGACAGTGCGTTTTTGCTATCATCTTATATTTGAGAAGCAACAGCCACAAAAACTTAGTGCACCTATACTATAGAGAGCAAGGTTCTCTGAAAGCTTCCTGGTTGGAAGCCCTGGATCACTGTCTGTGAACAAACAGACGTTTGCTCCTCAGCACTTGAGAGTTCATCAGGCAGAGAACTGGGCTCAAGTCCAGTAAATGGCCAAGGATCCCCACTATAGTCCTCACTCTGCTCTTTGTTCAAGAAGTAAACTTTGGCTGCCAATTTGCTATGAAATTAAAGATCAATATTCAGGAGGCGTTATCGATTCTTTGACTCAAGAAAAGTGTTCAAATTGGACCTTACTTCCTTCCCCCTTGAAAATGTGCCACACGTGCCCACACGAAGCTGTGATGAAAGATTCTGTGGGAATCTTTAAGATGATCAGATGAACAGAGTGTCATTTTCATGCACCTACCGTCTGTCGAGAATCTACCACGGTAAGAGGGCACTCTTCTTTTCCCCATAATTCCTATTCTATGTCTGGTGTCACCTCTTCTGTGTTCTTTTGATTGTATGAGACAGGAAACCCAGTAATTTATACAATTCATAGAGCCAGAAATTAATAACATAACGCATAAGCTATACTGGGAGCAAGAAGAAATATAATACATAATACCAAGTGGGCAAGCTGCTTGTCCCCTTGGGAAGTAACTTTTCTTCCAATAACCATTGTGATGGGCTTTCGTATACCGTGCTGTGTGCTGAAAGTTGCCTGACCATTCATAGTTTGAGTCCATGTTCTTGGGTGCCAAAAGCAAGAAGATAGAGTTAAACTAAAAGGTGAGAAAGCAATGGAAACAAGGCACATCCAATGTTGATCACAGTATCACAGGACAGACAGACACTCAGACTCCATGTGCCACTCTTGGGACATTTAAATGAGAACACTGCATGACCAAAGAGCTGATGGTTGCTCGACCCTGAATTCTGGCTGTCTCCTTTCCCATGGATGAGGATACCACGGGCACACTGATCCCTTTTTGGTCTTTATTTCTTCAGAACATAAAAACAAGCAATGGAGAATGGAGTAGGTGATCATGAGGGGAGGCATTCCACAGAACAGACTATGCTGTGCCGCTGGTGATGAAATCACAAACAATTAGAAACTTTATTATTTTTTTCCGTGTCAATAATGTGTACCAATTTTAAGGAACAGCACTGTGAGTGCCTGTCCTCCTACAGCTGTGCACAATACACACAAAATAAAATAATCAAACAAATAAGATGAAATCATTTTACACATAATAATTAACAACCCTGAACATCCAGAATTATATTTTCCCTACAGCATGAAGACTGAACAGGCAAACAAACCAAAAAACTTGAACTTGAAACTGACCAACAGCAAGAATTTCTTGGGAAGTTCTCTGTGAAAATTCACTACAGGATAATTGGCATTCCAAAGATGGAATGTAAAAAACAAACAAACAAACAAACAAAACAGTGAAAAACCTTTCTAATGTTTTAATCATGTATATACTTGGACTGTATTTACTGAGTAGTTCTAGGCTAGCTTTCCACTTTTAAAATCTAAAATGAAGTTAAAAAAAAATCAAAACAAGATGGGTTAGAATGTATCTCCAAGGGTCACCAGTGTCACCAATGTTGGTGGGCTGTGGTATCTTGTTATGGAAAGGTATCATTGCCACATAGATTAAAAACAGGTTAACCCTGTCTTCTCAGTGATTTTGGTCACCACCATGATTACCCTGCCTGGTCTAAAGTAGGAAGATAAACAAACCTACCAGTTGGCCAAGGCTGAAGAATACTTTTCCAAAGCTAAACATTACATTCTTTCCAGAAAAAAACATGAGCATTTGGTCAACTGCTTTTGTTGTACAATTTTAATGTGATTGTGTTAAAAAGAAGTCATAATTATTTTTTCTCTTGCAAGATAAACCCTCTCAGTATGGTTAGGTCAACTCTTACTATTTGAATAGGAATCCCATCCACTACATACCTCCTGGGGGTGGGAATCTGGGCTGTCTTGGTCACTGTTCAGCTACCAGGAGGTAGTATATTACCTGGCCTATTGAATGGGTAACAGGTATCTAACTATTCACTCAGTCACTAAAATGTTTATTAAATAATGGACAGTTACGATCACAGCGGAAGAAGAGAAAGGAGGTCTCAGCAACATTTACTTAAGTATCTTTGAATCAATGCAAAGGGCCACAGAGGTCTCAGAGAAGTCTCTGAGAAGATGGGTGAAGCCACCACTACTTTTGGAATGTTGGGTTTTACTTTGCTCTTTGGTATTTTTGAATAGAAAGAGCTGTTTCCTTCAAAGGGTTAACAATCCCCAGTGTAATCCTCCAGGGAGGAGGCCTCGGTCCAGTCCCTTTGATTCATCTCCTCTTTGTCACACACAGGGGACTTTAGGGGGCCTACTGGTCACCCTGGTTTCCTTTCCTGCTAATGAATTCAGGGTCTGGAAGGTGAATGAAGCAGGGCTCAAAATGGCCTTCTACATACAAAAATAAAACGAAGTAGCACTATCCACCTTCTGTGCCAGACAGAGCAGATGTGCAATAAATACTTTGGGGGAGGGGTAGTGTGGGAAAAAGTGTGGCTCTCAAAGTCCAGGCACATCCAAAGCATCCACTTTTCTCCCCAGCCTCTCTCTTTGGCCTGCCCGAATTAATGATGGGTGAATCTTGGAGGCCTCTGATACGTTCTACATGGCTAACATCCCATGGAGATCTCTGTAGTTTTCCTGCGGTCCTCTCAATAATTAATCTCTCCTCACAGGGACAATTATTGCTTCTTAAAAATGAACGTGCAGATTCATGAACATTAAGCCATTTTCTTTTTTCTTTTTTTCCCCCCTACTGGTATTCAAACTCAGTAACAACTCAAAAGTAACAACTCAGGTGAAAAGAAAACTCACATACGTCTTCAATGTCCAATCAACGTCGCTGAATGGGAGAACGGTATTTGCTATACGCTACTATATACAGATACTCTTTGTTTTATTTGTTTTGTTTTTTTTTTTTTTTTGTCCATGCACTGTGTAATGGGGATCACAACAACATTCCCAAACAGGCACATGAAGGAGGGCAAATGTTCAGTCATGACTGGAACAGGATTGTGCAAGCCATGGAAAATAAAACGGATGGAAAAATCCCAGGCAACAGCAATGTGGGACCTGGACACATGTGATGACCAAAAGGATGATGATTTCTTTCTTTTTCTTTCTTCTTCTTCTTTTTTTTTTTTTTTTTGGATGGGGTTAATCTTCCTGCTTGCAGGGGGTTGGGTGGTGGGCAGGAGGAGGTCTGGGATGGGATACCTGGGGAATTAGCTGGGCTGGAAGGAATAAAGGTCTTGCTAATCACAGTTCAGAGCTCAAGAGGTTAAGGGATGAAGAGTTCTGTGTGTTCCTGGGAATCTAGGCACGTTATCCCTGTGCCTGATGAACAAGACTGCCAGGCACCATTTCCTTAGCTACGTCTAGAACCATTGCTTTTCCTGGCTCCATTTCAGTTCCCATGCTTTGCTTCCTTGAGGCAGTTCGCCTCTGTTCACATCTCAGAGATAAGCAGAAAAATTTGGTAATATAGTAAAGACGTGGCTTCTTTCTTCTTCCATGCCCAGCTCCTTCCTTAATCCAAAGTAATGTGTAAAGTGTTTGGAGGCGGTGAGGAGAGAATCGTAATGACTTCCATTCACCTTGGGGTGGATCACCGCTTCCCATAAAAAGAAGTAGGATCCTAGCTCTCCAAACGGAACAAGGTAAAACCAAATTGAACCAAATGCCAACCACCACCTCCCCGGCCCCATCGGGAACAAAACAAAACAAGAAAAACAAATAAAAACCTTAACGGTTTATGAACTTGGAGAGAGTCCAGCCCTTCTAGGCTGAGATGCAAGATGGCCCTGCCTCCACGCCTTGTTCAACACGATGATGCCCCGGGAATGGGAGGGAGATGGTGGTTTCTGACTTCCGCCCTAGTACAGAGTATGCTCTTGAAGCTGGATTCCATCAGCAGGTTAAGTGAACATGACCAATGTCAGTTTCCTCTGTTCATTATACATAATTTTTTTATGTATATATATGTATATATATAAATTTACTATATCTGATCGTTCCTTTAGAAGCCTTTTATGTGGCAGTAGGCTTCCAGGGAGGAGAAGAAAATGTACAAGAGCCACAGGAGCACGAACAGGCAGGATGTGAGGAGCTTGGCAGTCCGGGGCCCACCCAGCTCACCTCCTATTTCTGGCCTCCGCCGATACAGCAGCACCCCCACATTGATGAATGCAAAAATGGTGAAGAGCGTGACCGAGAAAGCGAGGGTGCCAGGTGACACTCTGAACTGTTCCCCGTTGGCTGCGTGGTAGATGGCAGCAATGGACCAGGCCACGCCGATCCCCAGGAAGACGTTCACAGCATTGCTTCCGGTGACGTTGCCGATGGATGCATCTGCGTACTGGTCCTGGGTGGCTGCTACTTTGCTGGCAAATGTGTCTGCAACACAAAGAAGAAAAAGAAAACAGGCCATGACGCTGAGTTAACCTCACATGCATGCCCATGGGGTGCCAGGAGCTTCTACTGTGTAGTCTAGACTCAAGCCCAGAGTAGTCTGTTGTGTCTCTTTGAGTCAGTCTTCTGGTCAAAAGAACAGAGTATAGACATCAGGAGTCAAGGGCTTGGTGCTGCCTGTGTTACCAACAGAGAAAGTCCTGTGAGTCAATTTCTTTATCCACAGACATCATAGTTCTTTGTCTACTAGGCTTACATGGCAGTTGTTTTTTTCTTTCTGAAGTGTTCATAGCCCAAGTTATATCAAAATCCAATGGGGGCCTTCAAAAGACTGACTATTGCCAGGCTCCATCCAGCTGTTCTTGGTCATAATCCCTGGGGCCGAGAAATCTATTTTCACAGAATCCCGCAAAGATTTCTAGGTCACTACGTGTTGGAAACGGTTGCTGGAGGGTATTACTAAAATGCTGGATCAGCAGCTATTGCTTACAGATGAGCGGGCTAACGTGTCAGGAGAGAGTTTCCTAAGATCAAGGAGCAAGTCAATACTGCAACTGAAAAGCATCAGACTGTAATCATAGCTGACATTTGCCTACAGCCCCAAGAATAGGAAAGTAGGTTCACCTGTTTGACAGTATTGATTGTGATAATAATAATAGGTCATGAAATGAGGCCTAAAGATGATACACACACAGCAGGCACCATGTCACACGGCTAAGAAGAAGTGATGGTGAATTTGGGGCATCTGCCTCCTGCCTTCAAGATTCACACTTGTTCACTGTACCATCTTAACCCTTGCCATGCCACAGACACCAGTAGGTATCCTCGAAGCTCTCTGTTGGCCAACACTCTTCACTGTGCCATTTTGTGAAGACAGAGATGTCATGGATCACTAGAGGGCAAGTTTTTGGATAGCAATAGCTTATTAGCATACAAGAGGTTTCTAATCCTCCTTTACGATGAACTTTGTGACCCTAGGCCTCAGTTGTTCATCTGTGGAATGGGATACTAATACTCACTTAGACTTGCTATTTTTAAGATGGGAGAAGATATGGAAAATGCTATTTACACTTCTTGGTCAGGGTAGGTAGCTTTTTGTTGTTTTGTAGAGATAACCTAACTAGAGTCATCTGGATTAGTTCACAAGTTGGGATGGGTTGAACTATGGCCCCACTTGTTAATCAGGAAGATATGCCATTTCTGGCCTGTGTGATGCCCAGTTCCTGACAATGAGGATTTTTTTTTTTTTCAGGGCTGGTGAGATGGCTCAGTGGATAAAGGTGCCTGCAGTGCAAGCCTGCTGTCCTGAGTTCAATCCTTGGAACCTGTGTAAAAAACTAACTCTCCAAAGTTGTCGTCCTCAATTTCCACACCCATGAGATGCCATGAACCCTCTCCACATACATACACTCTCTATCACATACACATTTATAACACACACACACACACTCTCTCTCTCTCTCTCTCTCTCTCTCTCTCTCTCTCTCTCTCTCTCACACACACACACACACACACACTCATTGTCCCTGTAAAGAACCATGAGCAACACGCTCAAAATGGATGTCCATAATGGCCGCATATTGAATTCCCATTTGTAGCTTTAGTGATGGTGAGTATTGTAGGATTACCAGCTTCTGAGCCCCATGGGTGCCTCACAGGCTCTGGCAGGCAAGTAACCATGTGATACTTGAATCAATGTCTTCTTTCTGCTCCTATTCTGTCATCAATACCCTTATGAATAAACTTCCATGGGAACCATGTGAAAAGCGTGTATGTTCATATCATCTTATAGTTCTGCTGCTTTGTAATGGGGAAGGAAGTTATTTAGGTTGACCAGAGCCTACTGTGCCTGTAAATCATATTCTTTCTAAAGGGGAGCTTGCTGTGCGATGTACTGTATGCTGTGAATATGTGTTGCTCTGATTGGTTGATAAATAAAATGCTGATTGGCCAGTAGCCAGGCAGGAAGTATAGGCGGGACAAAGAGAGAAGAGAATTCTGGGAAGAGGAAGACTGAGTCAGGAGTCGCCAGCCAGACACAGAAGAAGCAAGATGTGAAGACAGAACTGAGAAAAGGTACCAAGCCACCTGGCTAAACATAAATAAGAATTATGGGTTAATTTAAGTGTAAGAGCTGGTCAGTAATAAGCTTGAGCTATTGGCCATACAGTTTGTAAATAATATAAGCCTCTGTGTATTTACTTGGATCCAAGCAGCTCTGGGACTGGTGGGTGAGAGATTTGTCTTGAGCTGGTGTCAAGTTTCCTGTGTCCACAGGGACACAGGAAAACTTCCAACTACAGTAGCTGGTCAGCCCTAAGGGCCCGTTTTACTGACTGTGATTACTATCTATGATGGATGGTAGATTTTTTTGTGTCTTCTAAAACTAAAGAGATGAAGAAAAGCACTATGTACACCCTATAACGTACACAAATTATGTGTATATCCTCATTTAACCCTCTCATGGTCTGATAGCTAGGTGCAATTATTCCTTTTTTTTTTTTTTTTTTTTTTTTTTTTTTTTTTTTGTAATTCTGGAATCTTTGATGTCATCTTATGCCTCTTGGATAAGGGTCCTGGACAGAAGAAAAAATTTTAGGCCAACATGATTTCAGGGTCCATTCCCAGCCCACACCACACTGCTTATCTCAGGAAGAGGAAAGGTTTCTTTCTTCTTAATTTGTTACAAGTCCCTTTGTTCCTTCTACCCAGAAATTTTGAAGCAGGTTTTTATTAAACAGCTTCCTCTGTTTCGAGGGGAAGAAGCCTGAGAGGGCACAGACCATCTACTAATCCACCTTTTGGATTTGCTCTGCCTTCTTTTGTGTTTGCCATTACACAGAGCAGCTCAATCAGGAGCCTCGGAGATGGGGGGATAAAGCAAGCCAGACACATCCTAATGGTCTCTGCATTTCATTATCAAAAGTCGTTGGAGCTGCTGATGTTGAAGCTGCCTAAAAGAAACAAAGTTTATGATTTTCTTCTCCAAGGGCAGCCAGTGTAATGGAACAAAGAGATAAAGAATCAAGAGGCCATGGTGGGAGAAAGCAGCTTAGGGTAGAAGTGGCTACTGGGGAGTCCCTGAACCTTGCTGCCATCACTGTCTGGTGGTGACAGGTGGCCAACCAAGTGAGGTGGGGCAGTTGGAGGAGGAGAGATTCCCTTCTGATGCAGGGACAGGTTCCAAAGCAGCCCTCCTCCCCTGATATGTGGTTCCAGGGGGTCCTACCTCGTCCACTCTGCAGGGGAAAGAATATAGTCAAAGATTCAGGTATCCAGGGGAGCTGACCACCCAAGCTGGCCATGTTTGCTGGGTTGGAGAGCGTGCCAAGTTCTGTGGCAATTTCCAGTATTGCTATTTTTCAATAGCCTGTTTATGTGAATATTGTGTGAACATTCCAATTTGTAACAACAGGTTCTGATTTCAAATACTTTTCTCTAGAGTCCCTGACAATTAGGAGCCCAGATTACCAAATTGCTGCATAAATAAAACATGTTCTGGGCCTCCTTGAGTCTGGTCGGTTTTATTTACCTGGGTTATTCACTGGGCCATTTGTCTATTTTTATTTTCAATTCAGAGCTATGTAATAACATTGAAAGAATGGATGCAAATCCAAATCATTAATCATGACTGTGATAGCTAGCCATTGCTTAGGTTTCCAAATGCCATGCAATGGGCTCTTCCCAAATCATCCTCTATTGCTTCTTTGGTGCTTTGTGCACAGAACAGCATCTCACACACCATATGTTAGAGTGTGATAAACCCTACCCGGAGCACTGAGCTTATAACCTGACTGTGGTTGAACAAGACAAGTGCTGATCTGCAAAGAAAAAGCCAAGAAACAACTACTGCCTTGGTCTTAGAAGGGAGGTAATGTTGGGAGGTTGGTTCACTAAACACAGAGGAATGAGATTTCCATTGCCATTCACATATATTCAGACATGTTGATGACGGCATACATCTACTTTTACACATGCATACCCCCAGCCAGCTTCTCATGCTATAATTCCCATCTTGAGCACCAATGAGTTGTAACCTAGTTGTAAAGTCTACAACATTTAGTCCTCTTAGCCTGTATGACCATAAATCAGGAAGAGGGAAGGAAGGTTTCCAGGAGTTAAACCCCACATCAGAAAGTTAGGTCATAACTGTCCTTTGTAGAGCTGTTTCCAGTTCACTTTATATAGCCTTGGCCAAGACATCAGGTCAGCATACAAGAATAACTCCCTGTTTTCTTCCAGGACTTATTTTTTCTTAACCTGGATCTCTTCAACTTTATAGTTACTTAGACATCTCTCTTGGAAATGACCATCCTTACAATGTCACAGGTGGGACATAGGCTTCTCTGTTACAATTCAAGAGTGTCACCTCACCTCAGAGAGTTGATCTTATTCTCTATTGTTTGAAGACAACCGCCCAGTTCCAAAGTGATTTCTACTTAGGAGGGACTTTTCTGGAGCCCAGATTCATGGTGGGGATACGGTTACTTATAGCTAGAGTTTTTCTGGTCCTGCCTACTGGCCAATCAGTGTTTTATTTATCAATCAATCAATCATCCACAGCAGTTACTTCTCCTTCAGCACATACAGACTGTGGACACTCTTAAGACACGGTCCATGAGGTATGGAGGTTTCGCGGTGTCAAAAGAGGAGGCGGCTCACCAGGGAAATACTCTTGCAGCTATCGGAAGGCTCCTCTGTAAGCCATACCCCTTCCGGTTACAGTTTCCTCATCTACGATGAAGAATCCAGAAGAGCTCTAAACCGCTAACACTGCTGTTTATTGGTTGGTCCACACACTATGCCAGCACATTAAGCTTCGCTGTGGGATTTGTTCTACAGTTTAGAGGTGACCAACTGCTTCCCTGAAAAGTGCTGGCGATTCAAGGAAGGAAGATGTTCAGACCTGAAGCCCTGTGCACTGAGCAAGATGTTATTAGTTTTATAATGAAATTAAACCACACAGCCCAGCCTTGTATCTTTTA